TTGGGCTCCTCGCTTGTCAGTTCTTGCCAGGTAACTCTGTCCTTCTGCATGGTTTGCAACTTTGAAATTCATAGTAGTAGTATTGTGCTTTGCAACTTGAGCAAATGCTCTTTTCTTCTCTAATGTATTGTTTTAATAATGAAAATTGATGTTTATACTATTATTTTGTGTGGGGATATTTGTTAGAGTGGTGAAAATGGAATAAGAGATGCCTTTTGTGTGGCTGGTGTGGTCTTCCAGTTTACATGCTTTTGTGACTCTCAAGAAATTATGTAATAGTTAGCTTATGATTGCTGATTAGTTGGTCTTAATTGGTAACATTATAGCCTTGTTGTAGCTTGAAAGGTGTAATTAGACGATAAATTGTGCCAATGGCGGATATAAGTAAAACTGGTCGGGTTTGATGGTACATAGCTGTGCCAGCTGAAAGGGGGCATGTTTTCATCGAAATCCTACTCACATTTTGAACTTTGAGGCCATTGCAGTTAGCCACCATGAACCTTCAAGCGCATCAATCAAACCCCTGAACAGTGGGTTACCTTGTTAATGGTCTTTGTATTCATCAAATGTTGAGTTACTGTAAACCTTGTGATGGTGACATCATCGTTAAAACATGCATCTTTGTTCTATGTGATTATTTCACTTGTTTTGAGTATTCCTTATTCAACGTGTCTTTTTTCCCAAAAGATAAAATTTTAAGTGCAAAGTTGAGAAATACAGCTCAATGGATTTAATTTCTATTTTTTTAGGGGAGATAAATATTAAATTAAAAGTGAAATTGTCATAGAACATGCTGATGGTATTTTAATAATCATGCCACATGATTGTCTCTTAACTGATACTGACCTAACAGCATGGATGCGAGGACTTATTACCAGTTTTCCTGTAATTTAATGGTTTAAAATAGATTTGAAAACTCATAGTTCTTCAGGGCATGCGTGTAAATATTTTCCCTGGTGAGGTCATTATTTTTTTATTATTATTATTTTTTAAAAGTTTTGGTGCTTGACGATTTTGAATATGTCTTTGCAATGATCCAAACTGTGAACCGTATGTGCTTTTGAAATTTCTTGTTTCTTATTTTCTAATGTTAGTATTGTAGCTCTAACGGTTGTCAAAGACCAGTTCATGTTTTGCTTTAACAAAATGAATATCTGAATGTTTAATTTTCTAAAAATGTGGGCTATGAATGGAAGGATGGAGGAGACAGAGAAAGCAGCATGCCGACCATTTTGCATTTAATTAATGACTTGCTTTTTTTGGGCTCTTGGAATTAGTCTTGCATCTGTAACTTTTATGAAGTGGTGGCTGTTAGTCTTTGATATCTGTAGACATTGTTCTCTTGTACTCTCTAGGTTATACAAAATTACCATCGTGATATTGAGAGATTGATAGATATTTAAATGTTTATTTCTTTCTTCTTGTCTTTTCTAAGAAGTAGGAAACAGAAAAGATTTTTTCCCCCCGTATCCTTAGCAAATTAGAATTGAAAATTTTCAATTTGATTCTCAGTTTAAGAAATTGTTTGCATGAAGTTTCTTCTTGAGGTACTGCTAAGTGCTAACTGTAATGTTTCCCTGTTGTATTTACACAGAATTCCTCAAGTTAATAGAAGTGGAAAAGGGGATGAATCAGAATTGATTAAACTGTATATGTTGGAGAGTTTCCTCAAGTGGTCTGCGATCAGCAAGCCAGCTTGCTTCTGAAACGAGTTGCTGGTGAGTATGTTTGGTTTTATTGGTTTCTCAAATCCATAGTCTAGAATACCACCATATTTGTTTAAAGAGCAGAAGTGAAATAGTGGAGTTGTTAGATAGCACGTGTTACTTGTTCCTACGATGGAGCACTTGATATAAAACGTTCAGTGTTGACTATATTGTCATGCAGTTGAAGATTGCACATGTGGCGGCATTGAAAGGCAGACATCCCTTGCTTGGATTATTTGTGGAAACCAGCTCTTCATTTGGAGCTACTTGTCACCTGCATCTTCAATGAAGTGTGTTTTCTTGAAATTCCTCCAAATATCTCAGAGAATAGAGATGGTAGAAAAATGATGCAAGTTTTTGGTTTCTCTCTGTTATTAATTGGACTAACACATCTGTGGGAACTAATAAAATTGGAAACCATTGTAACTCTGCTGGTGTTGTTTTATGTAATCGAATTACACGGGCTGTCATATTGGCCTGACATGTATTCACAATCAGAGAATGCTTCAGTCACAAGTCTTGCATCTTCTAATGAGCTGGAGGTTACTTCCACTCCTGATGGGAAAGAAACCTCGTAGTAGGCAATGGAGACTAAGCAAGTTGGGAGTATAGCTCAAGTGGATCGCGCATGCTTAACTCTTTGATTGCTTCTGCTGTTCCTGGTCATAAGTTTACTTGTGTTGCCCTTGCATGTAGCTCAAATGGTGAACTTTGGGAGTTTTTGTGCAGCCCTTATGGCATTCAGCGAAAAAAAGTATGTGAAAATATTTTGCATTTCCCATCCAAGGGGGTGATTCTGGTCAACTAATCAGCAACAAGGGATATCCAAGGTCAATGACATGGTGTTTTCCTTACCACTTAACAGAGGAATCAAACCGGCAATTTTTAGTATTGACTGATCATGAGATACAATGTTTTAGGGTAGAACTTAGTTCTAATATGCATGTCTCAAAGCTTTGGTCTCAGAAAATTGTTGGGACAGATGCTGATGTGGTATTAAGAAGGATCTGGCTGGTCAGAAAGGGAATATGGCCCCTTGACATGCAGGTAGATGATCATGGTAAAGTGATTACCATTCTTGTTGCAACCTTCTGTAAGGACCGAGTAATTAGTTCAAGCTATGTGCAATATTCTCTTCTAACTATGCAATATAAATCAGACTTGGTGTGGGGATTATGAATGACAAAATTTTGGAAAAGAAAGCCCCTATAGAGGTGAATAATCCAAAAGCCAGAGTTGAAGATGAAACTTTCTTGTTTTCCATGAGGCTTCGGGTTGGAGGCAGGCCTTCAGGGTCAGCAGTCATAATATCTGGGGATGGAACAGCAACAGTCTCACATAACTATAGGAACTCTACTCGACTATATCAATTTGATCTTCCCTATGATGCTGGAAAAGTGCTAGATGCTTCAGTTCTTCCTTGTGCAGATGATTATGAAGAAGGAGCATGGGTTGTGTTAACAGAAAAAGCTGGAATATGGGCGATACCTGAGAAGGCTGTTATACTTGGTGGAGTTGAACCACCTGAACGGAGTTTATCACGCAAAGGAAGCTCAAATGAAAGATCTGCACAAAGAGATAAGAAATCATACCTTTGCAGGTAATGTTGCCCCCAGAAGGGCTAGTTCTGAAGCATGGGATAATGGAGAGAGACAAAGGTCAGGTTTGAGTGGGATCACACGTCGAACTGTGCAAGATGAAGAATCAGAAGCTCTTCTGAGTCATCTTTTCAATGAATTTTTATCATCTGGGGAAGTTGACAGATCATTTGAAAAGCTAGAAAGTTCAGGTTCATTTGAAAGGGATGGGGAAACAAATGTTTTTGTGAGGATGAGTAAGTCAATCATTGACACCTTAGCTAAACACTGGACGACAACCAGAGGTGCAGAGATTTTGGCCATGGCTGTTGTTTCCACCCAGCTTTTAGAAAAGCAGCAGAAACATCAAAAGTTTCTCCAGTTTCTTGCCTTATCCAAATGCCATGAGGAGCTATGTTCTAACAAAGTATGACATTTGTAGCTAGCTGCCAAAAGATTTATTCATGTTAATCTTAGTTTTGCTAACATATATAATTAACACTTTGGCAGTTACATTAATGTGCAAGGTAGGTGTGAGAAATATATTGAATCTATCATGCTTTTATGACTGAGACCGCTATCTAGTAATAAATGTTTTGGCTGATCAGCACATGAAAGTATTGTGATAATTCATTTTAGAACTTGGAGATGGCAAACACCATTCTTGGACTTCTTAGGCTGCTTTTACATGAAAATGTACTGTGAACAATGAGACAGAATGTTATTCGCTAGTTGTATTCTTGGGCTTATAATTTGGGATTATCTTCGATTATTGTGGGAGGGAGAAGAAAATGAGAGAGACTGAATAATGCTGATTGCTTTGTCTTGTCATCTAGATTTTATATGACCATGGAGTTTTTGTTTGGGTAGGTTGTGCTTGTGAATTTTTAATTCTAAATGATGTCAATAGAATTGCTCAGATTGGATGTGAGGGTGGTGGTTAATTTATGGCTATATATAAATTTTTTAGAGAGCATGAAGGTGACAGTAGGTGGACATATGATGCCTAAATTACTTCTTTTACTACTACTACTACTAATACTAGTAGTATTATATTATTATTATTTTCTTATTGGCAGGACAAGCTTTGCAAACTGTCTTGGAGCATGGTGAAAAATTAGCTGCAATGATTCAGCTGAGGGAATTGCAGAATCTAATTAGCCAGAATCGCTCAACTAGTGTTGGCTCCACAAATTCTAGTTTGCAAATTCAGATGTCAGGTGCCCTTTGGGATGTGATACAAATAGTTGGTGAGAGAGCCCGCAGGAATACAGTACTTCTGATGGATAGAGATAATGCTGAAGTGTTTTACAGTAAGGTTTCTGAGCTGGAAGATTTCTTTTACTGCTTAGATGGAGAGTTAGAATGTGTTATAAGCCCTGAACAGCCTTCTGGGATCCTGATCCAGAGGTTATGTGAACTCTCAAATGCATGTGTCACTATAATTAAGACGTGCTTTAACTATAAGAATGAGAATCGTTTATGGTATCCACCTCCTGAGGGTTTAGCACCTTGGTATTGTCAACCTGTGGTACGCAAGGGGGTGTGGAGTGTTGCTTCTGTTTTGCTTCAGTTGTTAAATGAAATATCTGGACTTGATATGTATGCGAAATTAGATTTGTATAATCATCTTCAAGCACTAGCTGAAGTGCTGCTTGAGGCATATGCTGGAGCTGTCACAGCTAAAATTGAGCGAAGTGAAGAGCACAAAAGTCTGCTCAATGAGTACTGGGAGAGGCGGGACATGCTTCTTGTTTCTCTTTATCAACAAGTCAAAGACTATGAAGCTAGCCACAAGGTCATTATTATATTTTGCGTATTGCTTCCTTTCAATTCTTATTATTAATAATATTGTTCAATTGATTGCTTGTGCAGGTTTCAATTGAAGGAAATAAAAATCAGAGTGAGGAAGCTGTTTTGAAGATTACTTCACATTTGCTATCAATTGCTAAAAGGCATGGGTGCTACAAAATTATGTGGCAAATATGCTGTGACATGAATAATTCAGAATTACTGAGAAATATTATGGTATGTATTCCCCCCCCCTTTCTTGTGCTAATTCTGTTCTCCACTATGTTTTTTTTTTTTTTTTGACTTTCTCTTGCTATGTGGAACTTGCTATGAACTTTTTCTTCCAGTGCCCAAAAAAAACATTGATAGGGAGTGTAGACATTTTAATTCTGGCAGCTTTGTGAGTTGAGGTGATGATTTGATCTCTGAACTCTGAAAGTGCACAGTGTATCAGGAGATAGTGCCTTATTTGGACCTAGTACCTGCAATGAGTCACTGTTAATAAAATGAAATTTTTTGGACACAAATTATTCATGGTGCTCTTCAATCTTACAGATCATCAATGAACAATATTTTGTCTGCATTAATATGCTCATCTTTTACGGCACTGATATAATTTGCATTCTCGTGCTTGAACTTTTTAAATGTATATTTCCCTTGATAATGTTCAGTGGTTTGTCTGCAGCAAGAAAGCTTAGGACCTAATGGAGGATTTAGTTACTATGTCTTTAAACAACTGCACGAAAGCAGACAATTTTGTGAACTTTTAAGACTAGGGGAAGAGTTTCCAGATGAGTTGACTATTTTTCTGAAGGAACATCCTGATCTTCTTTGGCTTCATGAGTTGTTCCTTCATCAGTTTTCCTTGGCATCAGAAACTCTACATGAATTGGCTCTCACTCAAAGCAAGAAGTGTACCTCAGTTGCTGAAGAGAAAGAGCTGGAATATGTTAATTCAAAACTAAAATTAGCTGAGAGAAAGCATCTTTTATATCTTTCTAAGATTGCTGCTGTTGCAGGTATTTGTCTTTGTAGATTTTTATGCCTTCTGCAGATGCTTCTTTTTCCCCTTCAATATTTTATATTAAATTTTCATTTCCTGCAACTTGAAGTTAATCTTCCGTTTGCTCTTAAAATAGATATTCGGTTATCACTTATAAGATATCACGAAAACTGTTTGATCTTACAGGATCTGTCAAGTGTTGGACATGAGAAAAATGGAAACACCAACCACACTCTTATTATACTATAATCTATTTACAAATCCTTTCTTTCACCATACGCGACACCACTCAACCTATTTATACTAAACCTCATCACTGTTTAAACCCTTCCATATTAAATATCATATATATGATTCACACATTCCCATGTATGTCTTATAATTTTAAATACATAAACTACACATGATGTCACCTCATACTAAGAGATACACTTAGTACCATGAGACTTATTTTTTAAACTTTACATAGAAACCTAAAAGAAATGATATTTAAGTTCACTTATTCCAACATCCCTCCTTAAACTTTACTGTTTTTTCTTCAATTAATGACATTTACTTGGACCGCGTCCTAGAGTAAAATCACAAATGGTAGATACTACTCTTCCTGTACTTTGAACTGCAATTGCTCCTTCATTGCTGTCAGGTGCTTCAGCTTCTCTTTCTTTCATCTCATCCTTCAGAGTTAGGAGTTCATCTTTAGCTTTTTTTTGATAATCTTCTCTTAACTTTTGACAAGCTTCTTTCATGACAGCCCAAATCTGGCATTCATATCATGCAAATCTCTTGCATTCACATCTTCGAGCATGATATGATGAGTGAAAAAACACTCCAGGAGCCCTGTCGCACACAGAGTGCTGCTTCGTTCTCAACTTCTTTCTTTGTAAACACCTTTTATTCAAGTATATCTTGCCAACTAAACTTATCCATAATCATAACTTTGGCTAGGAAAATATATATATATATATTCATGTTTTGGACCATATTTTGCACTTGAATAATTTGACGGAGGCAAATTCTGTTTTGTTAATATTTCTTTTCGGAGCACCTTGAATTGAAGAGTTACCATGATCTGTTCTTCCTCTGTCTAATTGTACTTCGCTTTCCATGACAATTAGCTGTTACACAAACCTTCTGAGGTTTTATATTCACCTCTTTCCATGCTTTTATGTATCATATTTTCTTTGTGGTTTCTGACTATTGATGACCGACACTCTTAATTGGTCCTCTCAACCAAGAGATCTCAACTATTAATGAATTCTCGCACTTTGGAGATATCATTGCAACAGCCTTTGTCTTCCTCTATTTTTAATCAGGTTCACTCAACCTCGTCTTATACATCATTATGTTGATAATGAGGAGAACATGGAGAACACTACTGGAAAGTGGGATACACGATCCGCGTCCGGCTTCTCTCTACCTTTCCTCTATCCACCTCATCACCATTGGATCAAATCTCAATGGTCCACATTTGATATTTTTAAAAAAATATTATTATTTTTAGACAAAAATATTATGAATTTATTTTAAAAATACATAAATAAATTTGAATTGCTAAAATATGATCTGAACAGTTCACGGGAAAAAATATACTTTATGACAATAATCAACAGTTGTAATCTATTTAGCTTAGATTTTAGCAATTCATATTTATTTATGTTTTTCTAAAATAAAATTATAATATATTTTTGGTAAAAAATAATAATATTTTTTTAAAGTATTAAATCTGGACCATTGAGATTTGATCCAATGGTGATGAAAGGGGTGGAGGGGAAGGGTAGAGGAGAGAAGCTGGTCTCACATAATCCACACTACTAATATAATCTGTTTACAAATCCCTTCTTTTACCAGACACAACACTCAAACTTATTTACACTACATGACTCTTTAAACCCTGTTTCATTAAATATCATTCATGGTTCACTCATTCCTTGATATTTCTCATAGTTCTAAATGCTTAACTACGCACATATTCATGTCATATAATACCAAGTGATACACTTAATACTGGTAGACTCATATAACTTGCTAAGAAACCTGAAATACATAATATTTAAGTTTACTTCTTCCTACACCTAGCTAACTTAATGGGTGCAGCTCTTCCTTCACGTGGATGGCTATGGATGGATGACAGTCTTGGCTCTTTTTCTAATACAAGATGATCCAGGCTCTTGACATCCTGTATTTGCATTTACATAAATGTGATTGTGTGGACATTCTTTTAACCTGTTATTCACTGTACTCTTTTGGTCATTCCTATTTATTCTGTATAGCATGCATAAATGCCAACAGACTATTATTTTTTCGTTTGTAATATCATCCCTTTCTTGTACAACAGCTGGTGAGGATACTGATTCCCAAGCGAAGGTTGACCGGATAGAGGCTGATTTGAAGATTCTAAAGTTACAGGTAGTTTTGTAGTTTCTTATCAGTTCTCTACTAGATGATGAATTTATTAATTTTTGGTCAATTGAATATATTATTTGTAATGACTCTCATGCAGTACTGAGGCTAATTTTGTAGCCCATAAAACCACGATACTTATGATTTACTGTTAGGTTCTGATTGTTGTCCATCTTGAAAAATTAGCGGCTCGTAATTTAAACTTAGCCAAGCTCAGATAAACCTTAAGGACTTCTACCTCAGTTTGCTTGTTATCTCTTGAGCTCAAGCTTCGATAAGGCCTAAACTTGAGAGTCCAAAACCAAGGCTTAAAACTGAGCCCTGGAGCACTTTAGCATGATTCGATAATGCTACGAACTTTCACTAAATAGTGAAAGTAACATTAGTTGATATGTTTACTTACTAGCATAGGCCAGATCACAGAGGTGATACATATGTAGTAAAAAATTCTGCGCGGTATTATGAGCTTTGGGCAGTGATTTTAAATATAGTTCAATTGACTTTAGCTCTGCAAGCTTTTATTTAATATATCACGAGAGTTGCAGAAGTGCAGCAACTCAATTGATATGCGATTTGATTGACTTCTAATAACGGAACGTGTCCATTTTAAGTGAATATTTTATTGCTTGTTCATGATAGGCTAGATTTGATATTTTAAGAAAGATACCTTTTTCTATAATTTAAAGAATAGATGAACATTTGATAGTGATGTCTTCCACAGCATACAAGTTCTGCCCAAGGATTTCATCTTGGTTCTATAATCCTTAATAAATACCAAAAAACATGTTGTCACTATTTAGTGTTTTCCATAAGGTTTATCATTTGCTTTTTGTCCCCAAGTACTTGTAGAATGATGTGGGGCTGATATAGTGAGATAAGACTTATTATAGAATTATTTGAGCGACGTATTGCTAGAGAAAAGCCTTGTCATGTTCTTAACATGTGCCTTCCATTCATTTCCTCTTGGACTCTTGACCTGCAGGAGGAAATAATGAAACTTCTTACTCCCATAGAAGATAAGCAACTTGATGAGCAACAACTACTTCATCCAGAAGACTTGATTAAATTATGCCTGGAAGGTGAAGGGCAAGAGCTCTCATTGTGGGCCTTCGATGTGTTTGCGTGGACCAGTTCCTCTTTTCGTAAAACCCATAGAAAGCTTTTGGAGGAATGCTGGAAGAAGGCGGCGAGTCAGGATGATTGGAGCAAGTTTTTCGAGTCATCCATAGTTGAGGGATGGAGCGACGAAAGAAACCCTGCAGAATTTGAGCAACACAGCACTTTTCCAGGCTTCAAGACGGTGCTACGGACCCGAAGCAGTAACATTCGAAGAGGGCTTTGAGCAAGTATTGCCCCTGAGAGAAGAAAACTTGGAGAATTCGGTTATGGGCGATATGTCTTCTTCCGTGGAAGCACTATTGATGCAGCACAAGGATTTTCCAGTTGCAGGCAAGCTTATGCTAATGGCAATCATGTTAGGCTGTGAGCAGGAAAATACTAGACTCCAAGAGGGTCCTTCCCCCATGGAATAGCATGGCAAAAGATGCAAAAGGCAGTTTGCGTTTCTCTCATAATAGTCTCATATATACCAGCTTTGAAGGTACCAATGTATAATGTTTTGTAGGATAGAGTGTGGTAGGAATCAATACACTGAATGTTTTCATAATTGAAATATGTTGCCAAGAAACGTAGTGGTATCTTTCATGTTTATATGATGCTTGTTTAATTCCATAATATGTTTCCCTTATCTACTTTCAAGGCAGCGATATATGGACCAGTCTGCACATGGAGCTTAATGTTCTTCCAAGTTAGTTTTATCTCAATATGTTACGCCATTTGCATCATATTGGGGGGTTCTTCTTAGCCAAATAAAAATGTACTTTAAAAATAGTTTAATACGCATAATTCAAATTTATTCTATTGAAAACATTCATGTCAACCATTTCTCTATCTCGTTTATTAAAAAAAATAAAATCTACATAGCAATCGTGTATGATGATAATATTAACTTCTCAAATTTGAACTTTAAAAAAAGATTAAAAAAAAAATTAACTTTCTAACTCATGATCCATAACTTCAATCCGAATCCATGAGTTGAATTATTTGAATTTATTTTAGATTTTAGATTTAGAATTTATATGTGTGTGTGTTTTTAATTTTTAATTTCATTTTTTTCCCAAGTTATCCTAACTTTTCATTAATATTTAATTTTAAAATTTAGATGTTTAGACAAATTCCTAGCTTCAGAGGACTTGAAATATGTATGTATGTATATCTATAACTTTTAGTTGACCATTTAGGGAGTGTTTGGAAAACACCATAATCACTTTTCAAAAGCACTTTTCTGCAAATCAAGACAAACTCTTCCACATAGTTACTTGGTATACCATAAAAGTACTTCTGAAACTATGGTTTTGTTCTTACCTAAACACTCTCTTAATCTTAATTCAATCTTTTATGTTGGGCACGTAAACCAGATTTTTTATAGTTGTATTTATATTTGCAATAAATATAAATATGTTTCTTTCTCGCTCTCTCACTCACAACGCATCTCTACAGTTTAAATTATAACTCATACAAAAAAATAAAATTATAACAGATTCAGGCCGGCTAAATAGGCTTATCAAAGAGTTTAGAGCTAACTTGTTAAAAAAACAAAACATGCATTTAAAAAGCTGTGAGCATGTTCTTGTTTTTAAACAGGATAGGACTATAAGCCCTTGAGAGATTGTTTGATCTATTTTCACTCATATCCTATAACAGCAAGAAAACAAAGGCCTTAACCCAAAAAAGCAGATAAGCACAAACAGTAGTCAACAACGCGCAAGAAGGGAACGACCTAACAGCAACCACAACACACGTAGATAAAAAAATCCAAACAAAAATAAATTGACATGTAATAACTTGAGGTGATCCGGACGACCAAAATAGACCACATGTGGTCTAATCACGTCATTGCTATGTGCTTTGAAGGGATATATTGATTAAAAAGTCCATTTCCATCATAAACCATTTATTTTGACAAAGATATCTTTACTCAACATGAGAATTATTTAAGTATTTTCAAAAATAATTTCTATACAACATAAAAAATATTCCTCCGGTCCTAAATGTAAGACCCTTATACTCTCTAGTATAAGGGTCTTACATTTAGGACCGGAGGAGTATTTCTAATATATGTATTTCCAAACTTTCTAATATGTTACAAATTTTATTATTTTATTATATATATTATAAATTTTATGATTTAATTTTTCATCAATTTTCCTTGGCATCATAAACTCTACATGAATTGGCTCTAACTCAAAGCAAGAAGTCTACCTCAGTTGCTAAAGAAAAAGAACTGGAATATGTTAATTTGAAATTAAAATTAGTTGAGAGAAAGCATCTTTTATATCTTTCTAAGATGGCTACTGTTGCAGGTATTTATCTCTGTTGATTTTCATGCCCAATGCAAATATATATACAAATATATTTTCATGTTTCAACCCATATTTTGCACTCCAAGAACTTGCTGGAGGCAAATTCAGTTTTGGTAATATTTCTTTAGACCTTGAATTGAAGAGTCTCACCATGATATGTATTTCCTCTATGTTTAATTGTACTTCATTTTCCATGAAAATTAGTTACTCCTCCGGTTTTAAATGTAAAACCCATTTTATAGTGTAATTTACATTATAAAACAGATCTTACATTTAGATCCGGATGAGCATTTCTCAAACCTTCATACTTTTTATATTAACCTTTTTCTATGCTGTTATATATCATACTAAATGCTTTAACTACTGGAAACTGGGATGCACAAACCACACTATTGATTATTTGTTTAGAAATCCCTTCTTTTACTAGACACCAACACTCAAACTCATGTACACTAATCAAACTGCATGACTCTTTAAACCCTATTACATTATATATCATTCATGATTCACACATTCCTTGATATTTCTCATAATTCTAAATGCTTTAACTACAAACATATCTATGTCATATCAGACTAATTCCGTTCCTTAATTTATGACCTAGTTAACTAATTTGAATATATTAAAAAAATTAGTTAAATGAGTTATTTGCAATGAATAAGCATTGTTTTCCTTAAAATACCTTTGTTAATCATGTGTATTAGTTAGAACTATTATTTGATAAAAATTTTAATATGTACAAATATTGTTATTAGCATCATGCAATTTGGGATACGGATCGCACAATTAGTCACAAAATATACACAGGGAGATATGAATGTCCTAGTGTATCTTAAGGCTATTTGAATTGCGCCCTGAATCACATGATTCTGGGTGATGTCATGTTGTGAGGATTTGACCTGAATTTGTGACCGACCCGACACAATAAAACCCTTATTTATTTATTTTTTCTTTTTTCTTTTGTTATATAATGGAGGTAAACTACCATTAATGCAATTATAAGCAAGAAGCCCTACTTTTTATTCCCATTGCTCTCCTTTTCATGTTCTAATCTATATTTTGTGCCCTACACCACATTACTTCTTTTCTTCTCTTCTGTTGGTTTCTTTTAGTTGAGACTTGGAAGCTTTGAACATTGAAGTCTTCTCTTCTATTGGTTCCTTTTCTTCTCTTCCACTCCTATTTGGTAATTTTTTTAACTCTATTTTACTTTTATTGGATATTATATTGGTGGGAAAAATGAGTCGGAATCAAAATAAAAAAAAGGAGGCTGATATTACATGGAATCATTATGAAAGTGTTTCTCCCCATAAAATTACGGTTAAATGCAAATATTGTTCACATAAATATTGGGATGGGGTAGATACGATGAAACATCATTTGGCTAGAACTAGAAAGAATGTGAGTGCTTGCACAAGTGTTCTCGATGAAGTTAAAAAGTTGTTTGTTAAAATGCTAGAAAGTAGAGAAAAAAAGGTAAAGATGCTAACAATGTTGAAATATTTGAACAGGCAATTGCTCAAGATACCTAAGGGAAGGAAGAGACATCAAAAACTACCAAATAGAAAATAATGAATGAGATGGTAAAAGATAGAGGAGTTAGTAATTTATGATATTTGCAAATGCATCTATGGTAATATTTTGGCGATTCAATTTGATGAGAAGTCTACTATTTATTCAAATGTTAAAATCTGTTGGTAAATATGGTAGGGGTTTGAAACCTCCAAGTTATCACAAGGTGAGAGTTTCTCACTTGGAAAAAGTAATTGATAAAATTCAAGAAAGTTTAGCTAAGTATAAGAGGAGAGAAATGGGGTTGTACTTTGATGTGTGATGGTTGGATTGATCGTAAATGGAGGTCTCTTACTAATTTTTTAGTTAATAGTCCCGATAGGATAGTTTTTCTAAAGTCAACGGATACAAGTAGTATGATTAAAGATGCGAAACAAATGTTTGAATTATTAGACAATATGGTTGAGGAAACTAGGGAGGATAATGTGGTGCAAGTTGTGACTGATGGTACCTCAAAGCTCCTGGCAGTAGGGAAGATGTTAGAGGAGAAGAGAACAAAATTATTTTGGTCCTCTTGTGTAGCACACTATCTTGGTTTAATTCTCGAAGACATTGGGCAACTTCTGGTATTTTTTTAATACCATCACCAATGTAAAGAAAATAACAACCTTCATTTATAGGTATACATAGGTCCTTAACTTGTATAGAAAGTATTCCAATGGAAGAGAATTAGCTAGACCGGTAGTGACAAGATATGCAACAATTTATCTTACACTAAGTTGCATATTGCAACAAAAGAATGCTCTTTGAACCATGTTTGCTTCAAATGATTGGGTTTCTAGTTCTTTTGCTAGTAAAAGTTGAGGTAAGCAAGTGGTAGACATGGTTTTTGGGGATTCTAGATTTTGAAGTTCCATCAAATATTGCTTAAAATGTGAGTCCACTTGTAAAAGTTTTGAGACTTGTAGATGGTGACTCTAAACTTGCTATGCCATATATTTATGAAGCAATGGATAGAGCTAAAGAAAATATTGTTGACAATTTTGAAAAGAAGGAGGGTATAAAAAGATATAGAAGATCATTGATACTCATTTAAATTTGCAAGTATATTAGACCTCCCTATACAGCTGTCTACTTTATTAATCCTAGGGTTAAGGTGCAATTTTAACAAAAAAGTTTACCGTAAGGAGCACTGGGCACCATAAAGTTTATTTGGGTGCAAAAATATATATGAAGTTGTCAAAAGGGAGTATCTGGCACCATGCCGTTAACGTCCGTCAGTTTACCGTTAGAGGGCCCCAGAAAGTCAGTTTAAAGGTGCATTTTTAACAATAAAGTTTGCATCAAGGGGCATTAGGCACCATGAAATTTACTTGGGTGTAAAAATATAAATGAACTTTGTAAAAGG